CAGCTGAAAAGCCCTAAGCTGAATGTTAGGAACAACCAGGAAAAGGATACAGGATAATACAGAGAACTCTGCTATTTCACAGCAAAAATCCAGAGCCTGAGCACACCTTTGTGCTCCTCATCTTGTAGCAAAGACACATCAAACTCGGAGTGGTTCAGGGAAAAAAGAGAGGGTGGAGAGAGTCACGAGAAAGCTTCTCTAAGGGGAATGATGGAGCAGATTAAGACTCAGCGGCTGGAAGGGATGACTTTGGGGGAAGAGGGGAGATAAAATTATGTGCAACTTGGAGAGCATGAGCACAGATCAACTGTTCACCACCTCTTCCGACACAAGGGCTAGGGGCCATCAGACGAAGCTCGCAGGAGCCAGTTTCAAAGCGATGTCCCTCTTCGTGCAGTGGGCTGTCGGTCTCTGCATCTGCTCTGATGCAAAAGCTTTTAATTGAAAAACACTTGGAAGAGAAATCCATCGAGAATCACTACAGACAAAACAGATCAGGCTTAGAAAATACTCTGAGTTGAAAACAGTTGGAAGCTGGGAGAATTAGTAATTTGCTTGTCCTGCTCTCACTCCTTCCTGGGTCTCTATAGACACTTCCAGAAACAGGATACAGGGCTGGGCAGACCCCAAGCTGAACCAGTACAGCCACTCTCCTGTCCTCAGCCTTTCAGGTTGTGTTAGCTGGATGTAACACGGCATAAATGCACGCAGCTGGGTCACATCTGGAGCTGTTTTCATGTCACTGTGTCTTTTCGGAGCCTGACAGGCCAAGAAGTACGGCAGGCACATACTGAGAACCTGTGTTCCTTGGAGCTACACAGGTGCCCTCCACGGCACCTGGCTTCTACTGTTACCTGGGCTATCTCAGCTCAGCCCCCAGATAAGGAGAACTATTATTTAGGCCCAGAAAAGGAACTGATGTGAGTTGCTGGAAAGAAGTAAACAAAAAAGCACATTCATCCTGAAGGTAGTAAGTGATGCAGACACTCATCTCTTGGGAGAAACCCCGCAACAAGGCCCGTGCCATACCTACATTATACAGTCTCAGTTTCCACAGGTAAAGTAAGAACACACAGCGGCTCCTGTACCTTCCCACACTGCTTGTACGGTATTCCCTTCCGGTCGCAGTACTCGTAGCAGAGGGCTGCACCCTGCACACACAGCTTAGCTTTCAGAGATCCAGGCGTGTAGTAAATTCCGCTGTGAATCACACCGCTGTTGTGTCCACTCTGGTGATGAGCTAAACAGAAAGAAAAAGTCGTTATTAAAATACATGTTCCCGTGATTGGTTCATACCCCAATCACTTCAGCTGTCAGAAGAGCGAGCACTTTGAGGTCCTGCCCTAAAACAGTGTTACAACAAGGGATGCTCAGATAAGGTAACTGCACAGCAAACACAATTCCTCCCTGGGTCTCAAAAGGCGAGAAAAATAAAAATACTGACACAGCAAGACCTAGTTAATAATAAACCATCACAGCTTGCAACGTGTTGAATCAATAGGGGAAAGAAAAAAAGAAAAAAAAAAGAATCACAAGTTTTTCCTCCAAGAGCTACAACTGCAGGCCAATCCATCAAAATTCTCCACATGTTAAAATCAATTTTAAGAAATCCAAATTTTAAAATGAAAGGCATCCTTAAAGGCCTCATCCAACATAACGTCTGCAAAATCCTCCATTTCTTTGGATGTGCTGGCAGGCCTGGGAGGCTGTTCAAGTATTTCTGAACTAGACTAGGTTGCTATTTCCTCCTTGTAGCCAAGTAAAATAGAGGTGAAAAATATCACAAAAGTTTTTATTGAAGTAATTTGGGCAGGTTCTCCCTCTTAAAATGTTGACTCCCAAAGGCCACCCCTGCTTCACTACTGGAGAGAGTCCAGCAGAGGGCTACGAGGATGATGAGGGGACTGGAGCATCTCCCCTACGAGGAGAGGCTGAGGGAGCTGGGCTTGT